TTGGTTGAAAAAAATTAGACAAGAGCAAACAACAACAGGGTCTACAGTAAAAATGATAAGAGAGCAAGAGAATATACTATTTTATTAGTTCCTTTAATGCTAACATATGTAAGAAAAGCCGTTTGTCTAACCTAATGTAAAAACTTGTATACAGAAAAGAGTAAATATGCCCAGGGCTGGGATAAACGAGAATTCCATACTCATTATCACCTTGAAATTAGGTTAGTGACTTAAAGAACAAAAATTTCGTCAAATGCACACCATTTTCAGCGATCTAATTATAGCTCTTAAATTATAATTATAGTATACAATTATCACGTTCAATAATTCCGACATTACGTGGCTGCATATAAAATGAAACATTATTTAGGGTTTTATTAAATTTTTGTAATTTAAGACGTTCGCAAGGATATCAGCATACATCGATCGTTGATTCATAGAAAGGAGAAGCTAATTCCGAACCCTGAGTGGACCCCTAAATAAATATTAGTGTAACATCAACTGCAGTCGAACATTTAATGGAAGGTTGCGATTGGATGTATTTACATACGCAGCTATCATAAAACGGTGATGTGGACTCCAAACTCCGGATGGAATATTTGTGACCGAATGTAGCTAGACAATGAGTAGTTGACAGACACTAAGGAAGTGTTGGCAAGTGCATAGTTAAAAATTATCCACGTTTTGACTGAATTGTCATCTTGTGTTCATTATTATCATTGTCATTCTCATATATAAACCTGTTTGTTTTTTTTATTATTATATAAATTTACTTGATTATTTCCTTCCGCAGTTCAAAGACTTTTAATGTGGGGCTCATCCGATTTACCTGATATTGCTCGAGAAGACATTAGGGTGGTTGTTGGAATAGGTAAGCTACTATGCGAGCAAAAGGTGTTATAAAAGGGTAAAGAAAGGGTATGGATACGAGAAACGAAGGGTATGGGGAAATGACAATGTGAATTTAAACGCAGGGACTAACTTTATCTTAAATTAACACTCGTCCCAAAGATTTCGGAACCACATTTTCCGGTAATGTCTATTTAAGCTACATTTATTTGCTTTCATCGCATTCACGATACTGACTTTAAGTCAATAACCAAAAGGGTTCGCTTATGCTAACAAGAAAAATCCGGATGTAATTGAAACGCACGAGACATGGTAAATCAAGTCTCCGACTTTAATCGCATCATTCTGTCGAAGCTCTTCAAGTAAATTGACGCATCAATCGTTTACTCTTCTTTTTCCCGTCAATGTAAAAAGGCCAGAACAGAAAGGTGTATTGAAAACTCCCACAGTATTACAGTACGACTCTGCTTGGACAGTCACTCAATGGGGCTCTCCAGCTCTAGCTACTCGACCAAACCGGAAACGTATGCAAAATCAACATGATAAAAGGCCGGTGGAATTGTTTAAACTGCACCTAGGAAATATGAAGGAGAATGAGAAACCTCCATTACCAGCCGGGTTAGACTTTAAAAAAGCTATTACAGATTATTTAAAAGAACTGAAAAAGGTACTTAACTTGTGAAATGAGCGCGGGGAAGTGATATGAACAGCGTGGAGTATACTGAATTCATTCGGCACGCATTTTGGATCACAAGCATCAAAGCAACTTGCTTTAGTAACATGCCTAACTCATTATTCTCTTTCCTCACACTATGCAACCCAATTTACTACGCTTGTTGCGATGAATAGCTAATGACAGAAGCACTTATTACAAGATGGCCGGGCCTTGACTTTAATAGACATGTATTAAAAATTATGACAGTTCCTGCTGAATACGATGAACGTGCTCGATACGCGATGCGTATGTGTTCTTACCAGGCTGGCATGATTGATACCGTTAACTCGGATCTGTTACAGTTTACTAGTGAACGTGAGTAGGTGAAAGAAGGCGAGGGGGAGGGTTCTGGTGATTAGAGAAATGATACGGTAAGAGTATGCATAAGCGTTAGAGAAGTAAGGCTGAAGCAAAGAATGGTTCGAGTAATGAAACTCGAGACAATATAAAAAACGTAGATTGAAAGTATTGGAAATGTCTGATATTAATGTCTTTTTTTTTCTTCTTTCTTTATAGCGGAAGCGGCAGCGATATACTGCATGCGCGTCTTAAAAGAACACGACTTGAAAGAAGGATGTAAGTCTGTTGACATATTAGATCGGAACCCCTTCTAATACCTATTCCATGCATGTCTCTAACTTTATTTTCTTTACGCCTCTAGCCACATTCTTGATTGTTGACTGCGGTGGCGGAACAGTAGATTTGACAATGCGCACACTTCAACCAGCCGGCCGCTTGAAAGAAGTAACTGAACGTACTGGTGACTTTTGTGGTGGCTCTTACGTTGATGCCGAATTTCTCAAATTCCTTTCTCGAAAAGTGGGCGAATCTGCTGTCGAACTCTTAAAAAAAAATCACTACACACAGTTACAGTACATGGTTCAGGAATTCTGCAACAGGGTGAAATTCGAATTTACAGGAGATCCCAAGAGATATACTACAAAAGAAATGGATCTCGAAGAAGTCTGTCCTGTATTGATGCAATATGTGAAAGGCGACTATAAAGAGCGAATGGAAGATGCAGAGTGGTTGATTGAGTTAAACTTTGCTGCAGTGAAAGAGTTCTTTGACACGGTTGTTGGCAGAATTATTCGGTTAATCAGAGGGCAGCTGGCAAAAGCGAAAGCAAAGGGAGTCAAATGTCAAGCGATGTTCTTGGTTGGTGGATTTTCAGAATCGCCTTATATCTTGAAAAGAGTTAAAGAAGATTTCGGGAGAGAAGTCAAGACTATTGCGGTGCCGTCCGAGCCGATAGCAGCTGTTGTTAGGGGTGCTGTGTATTATGGTGAGCAGACATGAAGAAAAATAAATCTTTCTTTGCTTCTCCCGTTTGTCTTTTTTATTTTTTTTGCAATCTTATTACTTATTCGCATATCACTTCTTTCTTTTCACAAAAGGACTCCAAATGGATTCAATCCAAACCCGTGTCCTAAAATCTACCTATGGTGTCGAAATTTATCCCGAATGGAAATCCAGCGACCCAGCCACACGGAAAACGAACGACGGACGCATATATAAATTCTATCGTCTGGCTACCCGCGGCACCGAGGTCAAAGTTGATCAACAGTTTGGCTACACTGCATACCCAGTGTTTCCAAATCAGACTGGAATGAAATTTGATATTTACATTACGTCGGAAACAGATGCTACATACTGTGATGAGAGAGGAATGTCATCATTTGGAACACTTGAAATAGGTATGGACATTAATGACGGGGGTTGGCTAAAGTGTAAAGTTTCGAGAAGAAAGTTGACTATTCAATTCAGATGTACGAACTTGAACAATTGCTTACTTGCGCAGTTATGCTAACTATAATGTGTTCTATTATATTAGATCTACCTGATACAAATCTTGGAACAAATAGGCCTGTGGACTTTACCCTGACATTCGGTAAGATGGAGACAAGAGCTACCGCCAAGAATAAGACAAATGGAAAGGTCTATGAAGCAAAATTCAAATTGCAATTGTAGATTATTCGTTGCTGGGTCTGTACACACATATTATGTATGCATGTCTTTTATGCGTTGCGCTTCGTTGTTGTAGGGGGTTTTTTTTGATATGTTATCTAATTTGTTATTGTAGATTTGTTTAAATAAAGGACTCGATACCATAATAAGAGCTCAAAGATTTGATCAGAATAGAACATTACGTAAAGATTAATGAAGAGAAGTAGTAATAACCAAGATAACGCAGTTATAAGAATGTTTCCGTTGCGTTATTACACTTTTCAGAATCTACACTTGTTACGCCTGAACCCTGCATGGCATGCTACCATTAGCATAGTAAATACAAATAGAATTGATAGCATCTTATATTGAATAAATTTCTCGCACGCTTAATGATCGACATTTACGTGTGACGCAATCTGATATTTCCTGTAATGGTTAGTCTGCTAATCAACGATGTACCGTTATTATTATGGAAAATTTTCTGATCTAGAAATTTTAACCTCCTACGATCTTTTTCATGCCTGCATTTCGATCGTTATTATTAGTCATCTGATCGTGATGTTACAACGTGGCTTTACTGCAACAAGAAGACTTTCGCTACTTACGCTTCAGGCACTTGGACAGAAAACCACAAGATCAATATGTATCAGACCGATGAGACAAGGTCAGGAATTAAGATTTTGTCCGGCGATCCTAGTTTTGACAGAATGATATTGAATTCCTCGTCGTTTTCGCTAGGCCCATTGAAACCTCTAATAGTAAGAACTTATAATCAATCAGCAAGTCTTCTCGGTAAAAAGCAAAAAAAAAGATGAAAGATTTCGACCAAAGTGAGTTACACATGGACCCGCAGCTTTGCTCACGTTTTTATGACTTTACTTGACAAACAGAAGGTGAGAACGAAGATGTGAGCGAAGACGTCAGCGAACTTTATCCAACTCAGATTACGACGACTTATGAGGATGAAATTCCTCCTGGAGTATCCGAAGCGTTTTATAAGCTTTACAACGATATCATTTCCAAATTGAACCCCAAGACCTTTCTGGCTTTTCCGCTTGCACACAGCAGTTTAAACGATCTGATATACCACGTACGCACGCTACAGGAGGCGGCACTAATACCCGAAGTCATTGAACGATGGCGTTTGTATCGTCTACCCATCAACGTTGTGACTACGCGACTTCTTGTCCGAAGATTTTTGGAGATTAAAGCTCTAGAAACACTATTTGATATTTTGGCCGACAGAGCCAAATACAGTCAATTTCCATCATACAAAGACTTTCGTCGTCTCATGTCTGCCTTTTCGGAAAATATCGGTCAACCGGAAGGAACACAGAGCATTGAACAAGATATGACGATGCTCGACAACGTTTTCAAGACGTTTGGTTTAATGACTTATTACGATCTTACAGACTTTGATCCACATTCCTATGCAATACTAATACTTGCATCGATAAAGATTGAACACGAGGATGCGTGGAAAAGAGCCGATGTCAGCACGCAAGAATTAATGTCTCTTTTATCGAAAAATGGTATCGGGAAAGTAGAGGAGCGGGAAGATGCAGATGAGCGTAGTAAAATTGAACGTTATGAGCGTAATAAAGCTCTGCGAACGAAAGTCGATCAGATGCATGCGAAATCCGAGCGTACGGAAAGAATTACAGCTTGCATACGAGCGGCGACGGCGATGGCTGAAGCATACTCGCGTCGGGGAGAAGGTGAAAAAGCGAACAAGTTAGAGTTGTGGAAAAACGATTTGTCGAAATCTTTGAAGAATTAAGCGTCTCTATGCTTAGTTGCTGGTATATTGCTATATGGGATTACCCGTAATATAACGTAAAAGATGACCCTCCCCCCTTAGAAGCGTACATTCTGACGTAATCATAAATGTTGTTATTTTCAATCTCACATGTGACTGGGAGATAGTTTTTTTGGTGACCACTGACAGGGAGTCGAATACTTCGGAGTGGATGTTCGATTCGAATTTTTACACTCGCAATTTTTACTATCAGTATACAGTTCCATCGCAGTCGAATTTATTCGCGTCCTTTAATTATGCTTATGAACATTTACGCGTCAATAAATTTAGTGTTCTTATATTAAATAAAAGAAAGAGAACGCGTAATGTCTGCTCGAACAGACGAACCAAACTTGTCTCGGAGTGTTGTAAGCGGTCCTTGGTGTCTAATAGAGTCAGACCCTGGTGATTATGATGGATACAAAGTATTGTCTACTATCGACTTTGGTTCTCCAACGTTTACCTGTTTTTTTCCTGAATACTCCGCCTACACTTTGTATAATTCTCAAAGGTGTATTTACCGAACTGCTCAGAGGACTTGGTGTCCGAGGCGCACAGGTAGAAGAAGTGTGGTGGTCGATTGAAGAAACTTCAGAATGGGAAAAGTTTGGGTATGTGTTTTCATTTCACGGCCTGCAGACTCGCTTTTCTTTCCTTTCCGGAGCGAAATTGTATCTTACTACAACACTGGCTTTTATACCGTTAGAGATGTGTATGGTCTAATATTCTTATTCAAGATGAAAAAAGATCTCCGGCTGAACATTGATATCGACGACGATGAAGACTGGAAAGAGGTCTTTTTCGCTAATCAAGCAAGTAGAAGCGAGTGTTTATTAATGTCATCTAAACTATGACAGGCATTAACGATTTTGAACGCATCGCTGGAAATACGTATCAATAGGTTATTGAAAACGCATGTGCCACACTAGCATTATTAAATATTGTACTTAATAGAGAAGAGTTGGATCTGAGCGAGGAATTGCAACAATTCAAAGAATTCACCAGTGATTTTGCATCGCCGGTAAGTAAAAGAAAAAAAAACAATACGTATCTGTCAATTAACGGATTATTTGCAGTCTGTCATAACGCTTGTGTTTGATTTTTAGTTGCGTGGGTTGGCTATTACCAATCATGCACCATTCAGAGACGTACATAACTCGTTTGCACGGTAATTACGTTGAGGATTAGGTGTCTTGAGCAGATTTCTATAAGACTCCATTCTCACAGTTTCATGCTATCTATCAGGTTTGATGCAATATACCCATTATTCGCCAAGGAAACAGCAAAGGCAAAGAAGAAGAAAATGTCGCAGGAACCGGAAGAAGCTTATCATTATGTTGGTTTTGTCCCAGTAAATGGCTATGTCTGGGAAATAGATGGATTGGCGCGCGCGCCTATAAAGCTCGGTACGAATAACGGTTTCCTGTTTCGTGGATTTTTTATCTTTGCACCTTTTCTCTCTCATGCCAATTCCTTTCGTTTTTCCTCCCAAACGTTGTAATATATAAAGGCGAATGTACACTCGATAATTGGCTCGAAGTTGCTCGAGCGTCGGTGGAGGAAAAGATGCAAGAGTAAGATATAAGACATTTGACACGGCGCAACTAACGAATCAGTCATCTAACTCTTCCTGCTCCGCGTCTTTTTCGAATTAATAGATTCGCCGAAGAAAACGCACAATTTAATTTAATGGCTGTTGTAAAAGATCAAGTACTTGAACACGAAGAGAAGATGAAGGCTCAGATATTTTTAAAGGGTGTTGTTGAAAAGCAACTTGATGAGCTAGACAAAGAATGGGCCAAGTCCGATAATAGTCAACACGTAATTTTGAGCCGGTGGATACTTTTTGAAGGACTGGCGACATGACATGATAACATGCATTCTATCTTTTACACAGATTGACTTTATATCATTGAGCGAAGAGGAATTAAGAGAAACTGGAGTAAGGACACAAGTTACAGAAGAAGTAAAAAAGATAATGAACTTGAAAACCATATCTGAGTTTCTTAGCTTACGTTCATCGATAATCTCGAGGATCGAACAAGAAAAGTCGGCAGTGGTAAACGAACGAGAGAAGCAGGAACAATACCGGGTGAGACTATGAATGCAAATTTTATAATGTTGTTAATTGGACAGACAAATTCATTGTGATTTCTTTTATAGCTCGATAATGTAAGAAGACGTCATAACTACATACCCTTCATCAAAGAATTCGTAACGATTCTCCATGAACGAGGTGAACTCGAAGACTTGGTAATAGATTCTATGGGTCCTGAAATTATCAAATTCCTTGACGACGTTGACGGACTCACGGAAGATAGCAGCGCAGAGACAATGGATACTGATAAAGTGGACAATATAGCAGAAGATGACGAGGAGGTAATAATGATAGAAAAGATTGCGAACGAGACGTAAATTAATGCGTGTCACGCAGGACGTGAAACAAGAATCCGAGAGAGTAGGATGCAAAGAACAAAAGGTTAGATCGTTTTTGAAGCATAATCCGATACGGGATGCTAGTATATTTTGGTTATTAATAATAGTTTTGTTAAAGCGATTATAAACGTAATTGTATATGAATGAAGTGTCAATGTTAATATCACAATAGTGGGAAGTTATATATCATGACAGATCGCATTCACGTACGTAAGAAACAATAAGACCCATATGTCGTGGCCAAATGTTATTTTGCGGGATCATAAAGAATACTTGCAACATGTGTACTTTTTGGTCTCGGTAAACTGGTCGTTCATTCCAATGCTTAGTGCTCATATTCATGCATTGTTTCTATGGCAGTTTAAATCTAATGTGCAAAAGAAGGAATGGAATTTCTGGCCAATCTATGGTAGCGAATCTCTCGGATTCTGCTCGTATTGCATCTCGAGCGAAAATATAATATTCAAAAAACTGGTATTTCAGGCGAAGCTCTTTAATGGCACATACAATGAAATATCTATATGCATAGAACCCAACACATAGAGCGTATATCCTACTATAGGTGAAGGCTTTGACTTCTTCTTCTTCTACCACTTCTACAGACTGGCCTGCAATGTCATCTGTATGCGACTGAAGCATCCGAAGATAAATCTTCTATTATTCAACAATGAGACATTATTATCAGCGCGTTTTGACTGATATAAATAACGAAAAATGAGCCCTGTTCAATTCCCGTCTCTGATTGGCGGTCGCAAAATCATTTGATGGAACAAATGCGACCGAAAAAAAAAAGCAAGGTCGATGTCAAGTATGTACGCAAGGTTTCATAAAAGACAATGCGTCTCTGAGTGATTGCTGCTTTGTGTTTATGTTCGCATCTATTTTTAAAGAATGCAGTCGTTACATGATTTACGCCACTCTGATTGGCTGATTTGAAATTTGTGCAGGGCCATTCAATGTGCCATTGCATTCATCAGTAACTGAACGAAATTAAGCGCTCCCGAAAATAAAGAAAGGAAAGCAGATAGAATGCAGAACGACAACTTGACATTACGGGTAGTTTTGGGATTCAGGTGAATTTTCCTGCAATCAGTTGCGCCATTGTTAAAGGTGGGCTTATTTTCAAAACAAGACAGTAATTTAAATTTATGCCGCGCCGAAAAGTTGTGTGCCGTATTACTTGCTACTACCTGAAAATACCAATAAAATTTATACAATTTGAAATCAG